ATAAATAAATAAATCTTTAAAAAAAAAATTAGTGCAAATCTAAGGTATTAAGTTTGAACCAAAATCTATTGCTAATAAAACAAAAATTAGTAATCTGGTAAAATTTAAATTCTCTCCTGTACTTATTTGTAAGGCTCGTTCTGGTACCAAAATGGTAGGAATGCAGATAGTAATTAAATGCAAATGTGGCACAAGCTATGCGATGGCTATCGTCTGACAGATTCCGGGTAGCTCGGGAAAAGCTCTGAAAGATCAGACTTTCCACGCTAACTTGTGTTATGACCTCCCTTTTTTGTATAATCGTAATATCAAAATATTCCGAGCAACTTTCAGCTTACAATCGGATTACCTCAGCCCCATAAGGCCTGCCTGCCCTGACAAGCAAGCACTGCACCAGGGTGAGAAATTCCTCTGAAGTCAAAAGTGGCTTAACAACTGGGTGATCAATAAAAAAGCAAAAGGGCTGTTTCTGCAAAGTCTCTCACTGCTGGATGGACGAAAACCCAAATCTTATCATTCTACTATCTCACCTAGCCTCCTATTCAGCTTCTACAGAATTACTCCAACTTCCTACTGTCTGGCTTTAGATATGGAAATTCATCCAGGTTGCCTGTTTTAGAGCTAGCCAAGTTTTTACCTGCTACACTTCAAAGCAATCCACAAAAGTCTTTGTGGCTAGTCTTTCAAGAGTCTATTATCTACTCTTTAGATAAGGAAATTCACCTATATCTCCTATTTAGAGCAAATTACGCTTTTTACTGTCTGGACCTCAAGGAAACTCACTTAAAACCTTTTAGCAGGTTTCTTCAAAGAACTTTTCCGAAACTTGATTAGCAAGAAATTTCCTCTTCCTGCCTCCCAAGATGTCTCAGGTAGAAAAAAAACATCAAATAATAGATAAAGTTTAAAGGACTTTATTTTTATCTATCTTCACTATAGTAATATTAGTCTTAAACTTTGAGCACCTATGTACCTGTTTTTTAACCTTGATTTTAGAATGTTATAATCTCAAGTAAAGGTCAAAGGACCCCAGACCATTCTTAGAAAAAAGGTGATTGTGATCACAACCCCTTTCGTATGCTAATGCCATCCCCCAGCCTGCTTGAAATATATAAAATAAACCTCTGCTGAAGGCACAGCAGGAAGATTTGCACCCAACTCCAGCTCCGTGTCTTCCTCACTCCTCTCCCCCTCTTGGAATCTCTGCAAGCCCTGGATGCCTTCCCATCTTAGGGTCCTGCCTGTGTTGCGTCCAGACACCTCAAAAGTTGGAGCTGGCTCCGACACAAATGTGTATAAACATATCATAATAAAATATTTAATACCAAGCAGAACTTATTATTGTGGTGGTGGTTATATTTGTAGAAAACACTGGAATTGTTTCTTAACAAAACATGTTAATTCTTTCCATTTTATATTTTGAGCTCTGTGACTCAAATATATTCATTTTCAAGTCAAAAAAAAAAAAACAGCTTACCATACTCACATTCTCCAACTTTTATTAATTAAAATTATTTCATTATAAAACACACAGAAAATTTTTTTCAAAGAATGTTTTGAAACAGGACACCCTCGAACTAGGACAACAAAAACTTATTAAATTCCTAAATATATTAACAAATATTTGCTGAATTAGTGCTTTATACTGGGGTCCTTGTGCTTCCTAATCTCACTGATCCAATAGAATCTATTAACCATCAAGAGCATGTCCAGTCTCATAGTAAAGCAGAACAAAAGAAGTTAACCTAAATGTGGTAGGAAAGTAAAGAATGCAATGGTTAGCCAAGAGTTAGCAAGTAAACCACAGCTTATAGTTTGAAACTAGGCTTTCTGACGTTCCTCTTTTCTCTGTGTACTAACCATCCTTCTCAGAATAAAATGTGACTATTTGATACAGAAATGAAAACCAGCCAAAGTTTAATATCGCGTGATTAGGTGACATGGACAGGTAAGAACTACATCTAATCAAAGCTTCAATATCTTGCTCTTCCTGGGAAATGGTTAAAACGCTGACAGAAAGTGAGCAGATTAAGCATCTGACCCATCACTTTTCAAAAATTTCTGGACTATTTTCTTCATTCTGGGAGATTCCGGGTCCAGGCAGATTTTATTTCCATTTTTCATTGTGGCTCTGCAAGACAGATTATTACCCATCAGTGGGCTGGCCTGACTGTCAGAAGGGACCAGTAGTGCTGGGTAAAGTAGTGTAGGTACCAGTAGAGGTGCAAGGTTCCCTCAGGAGGTGGTCACACAGACCCAGGGACTTACAGCACTTCGACTTTGGCGCAGTGGGGTCCTGCCTTGATCACCTCTAAACGTTGGATGTTGTTGGGGTGAATGCTAGAGATGGTCTTCATGCACATGCAGCGAAGTTCTAAGTACAAGTCCGGGTCCACACTGTCAGCTGGGGGAAAGTGACTGTCAGTGATGATATTTTAGGGCTCTTACCTACTGACTTGTTTCCTCAACTCTCTTCTTTGTTGATTGTACCTGCATCAAGAGATCATGGTGCATATGACCTGCAGACCTTTGGTGGAATCGCTAGCTCAATGCCTGGCACAGGTTAAGGATTGGCTACGTGTATCACCTCCATTTAGAATTATTGGCCAAAAAAAAAAAAAGTTTTTCTGCACCAGGATAGTCTTTCCCTCAGACTCAGTCCCAACAGAAGCAGCCACAGCTGCACTGAAGCAGAGACCCCTCTCCCCCCACCTTCGCATTGCTAATTTACCTTTTCCCATAGTGGAGGGAACCAGCAAGGTCAGGAGAAGGGAAAGCAGCAGCAACATCTGTGGCGCTTAGAATGGGCTTGCCAGGCACAGGAGGAGGAGAGTTTCGAGAAGACTGAGCTCAAATTGGTCCAACAGTCAGTAGACCTCAGCGTCTCCTGCTTAGAAACCCACAGCGATTGGTTTTTAAGGCTTTCTTGATATCTTTTATATACAGGCCTTCGAAATTAGTAAGGAGAAAAAGGGGAAGGGGAAGAAGGATGTGATAATACACAGATAAACACCAGATAAGTCCCATTTCCTGCTAAATTTTATTTATGGATCACTTCACCCTCCCATTTCCCCTTTTCAATATCCCTCACACATATATATCATTGATATAGGGTGGTAGGAACCGAACTAAAAGTACAACATATATTTTCTTGGTGTAACTCTTTAATATGCAATTTATAGGTTTAACATACATTTTGTTAGTACTTAAAAGCATAGATACGCTTTTGTAATCCTTGGAAAAGAGAGTTATCTTCACTTTCCAGTTGCTAAAGATGTTTATCTGTTGTTGATACATGTCGGTATTAATTTGGAGTATGTGAATAAATTATGAACCAATTGACAGCAAAGACTCCCTTTTTATATTATTTATGGTCTTTTTTTCTGTCTTCCAAACATATCTTTTGTAGTTTGTCCAGAAACTAAAAGCAACACTCATATTCCTTTGTCTTATGAAACAAGCTACTTGTTCTAACATCTGAGCTTACCCTAAAAGACAAGGCACAGGATTTTATTCCTGCTCTTATTTTTATTCTAACAGGGAAATATATACCTTATTCTAAAACATTCATATATTGAGGTTGTATGTGCAATAAAACCTTCAAGTTCTTCTTTATCATTACTCCACATTCCTGCTCTCCAGTGTAGCCACTGGTTACAATTTGGCATTAGTTTTCTGTCTGCAGAGACACACATAATAAATGGAGATAGACATGTGACATCAAAGTAGACATATATACATATATATATATATATACACACACACACACATACACACACATATATATATACATATATATATACATTCTACTACTTTTCTGTTCACAATCTCTAACATACTGCTGCATTTACTGACATTACTGGGCACTTCCCCCTGTTTGATCATATACTATCCAAATATCTTTCCTGTTTCATTTAATACCAGGAAAAGGGAGACAGGCATCATGGTATCACCAAATCATTGTCTTAATCAACCTATGTTTTATTATAATAGATGCATCATCAAGGAAACATTAGGTAAATGTGGAAGCATGAACTAAATGCTCAAACTTAGTCACAAAATTTCAAACTGTCACTTTGAGTATAAGGTAAGTAATTTTTGCTAGTTTTCACTTATTCACGTGTTGACTATTTCTGCTGAGCCAGGCACTAAAGTTCTCTTTGTTATGTGACATAGTCATTCCACTATTTCTTTTTAAAAACTGAGGCCTCAAATATTTTCTCCCAGCAATACGATGTAAATATTAATCTATTATTACTATTCCTTGTTAACTGCAATTTCTATCATTTGCATCATTTTCTTTGATGTTCACAGAGAGATACATTGCAAATGCCAATAAATTTACTGTACAAGAAAGGGTAAAAGGTATTTTTGAGTCAGTGATTCACTCAAAAGAAGACAGCATATACTTCTAAGTGTATGTTCAATATAATATAGTATGATATACTACAGTATACTACACAATACCATATTCTACCATATTATATGATGGTATACAAGGTTATATATTTACATGAATGCTAGGAAATTAGAGTCAGGGTTCTTGGGTTTTAAAATAATCTGACAGCCTTTTTATGAATATTACGTTGTCATCTTGTTTTGAGGTCAGGTTGTGTGGGTGTGTGTTTGTAGTTACTTTATCTCTTTCAGGTCATTATTTAAGTAGGAAAGTCATTCAGGAAATGAGCAAGCATTTCAAGATTCAAAATAGAACTTATCTTTCAGCTATTTTCAAAGAGAGTATCTAGAGAAAATGGAGGACTGTTATCCATGAAAATTAAGACCTGGGCCCTCCCTGGTGGCGCAGCAGGTTAAAGCACAGCATTGAGAAGCTAAAGCCACTTCTGCATGAGTTCGATTCCCACCTGCTGCCTGCCCCAGAGGTGACCACATGGCGTGGCAGACCTCTCCTGGCCTGCCCGCTGCTCCCCTCAGCAGTGTACTTCCGTCCATCTGCCTGTTCTGCCCCCCACTCTGTCTCTGGTGAAGCCTCTCGCCGCCCCTGAGCCTCTGGCCTGTACCCCAGTTCTGTATGCACAGATAAATAAATCTTTAAAAAAAAAAAAAGAAAAGAAAATTAAGACCTGTATTAACTCTGCCTTCCAGTGGACATTTTGAATGACAAGTCCTAAGAATGAAGGAAATAAGCTAGCACCTACTAATCAGTCATTAAAGGAGTTGGTTTGCAAGATCTTAAGGATAATATGTTTTAGATCTGTTTGTTAAAGCAGTGTGATAAAAATACTCATCTATTATTAATACTCCAGTTAACCACAATTTTTATCATTTGCATCATTTTCTTAATCAATCAGCAAATTGAAGTACTAACCAACAAAAGATTTCCTATAAGCCCCAAAGTCAAATGTGTTTGCTGTAGATATGAGTTGACAAGACCCAGATATCAATTCTTCACGCCAGTCAGTTGAGGCTGTATACTGCTCACAGGTGTTACATAGGATCTGGGAGTTGAGAGGAAAATATCTTCCTGGATACTATTCTATAGGAGCACTACAGTGCTTTGCAGTCCTGAGAATTCTACCTTTAATTTTTTTTTTTAAAGATTTATTTATTTATTCGTACAGAACTGGGGTACAGGCCAGAAATGCGGAGGGTGAGAGGAGTCACCAGAGACAGAGTGGGGAGCAGAACAGGCAGATCGACGAAATACACTGCTGAGGGGAGCAGCGGGCGGGTCAGGAGAGGTCTGCCACGCCATGTGGTCACCTCCGGGGCAGGCGGGGATGGAACTCATGCGGAAGTGGCTTTAGTTTCTTAGTGCTGTGCTTTAACCCGCTGCGCCACGAGGGAGGGCCTCTACCTTTAATTTTATATTGATGAATCTCAATCAATCGAACATCCAATGCTGATGATCCTCTTTTATTATGTAACAAATCAACTTCAAATGAAATGACTTCCACAACTTACCATTTTCGAACATCCTGTATGCTACTGAGAGTGCATTCTGCTGTCAGCTAGAGGCAGCTGACACTGCTGAGAAGCGGCGCATAGGCTTCATTCGCAGGGAGTGCTGCTGAGAGATTTTTGCTAGGGCAGCTTGGTCTTCCTGCACCTCCCTCCCCCACCCTTTTTTAAAAAGATTTATTTATTTCTGCATACAGAACTGGGGTACAGGCCAGAGGAGTGGTGAGTGAGAAGATTCACCAGAGACAGAGTGGGGAGCAGAACAGGCAGATCAACAAAGTACACTGCTGAGGGGAGCAGAGGGTGGGTCAGGAGAGGTCTGCTGTGCCATGTGGGTCAGCTCCCTGGCCGGGGATCAAACTTGTGCTGCAGTGGCTTCTTAGAGCTCCATAATGCCATGCTTTAATCTGTTGCACCACCAGGGAGAGCCCACCTTCCCCCTTTTAAAATAGCATCATTTTACTTCTCAGGAATAAATGAAGAAAGGGAGAATAGGAGAGTGGAGTAAGGGAAGGAAGGGGGAGGCAGAGGGACAGGCAGAGAGAGAGGATGAGAGGAGTAAGGAAGGAGACACAAGCAGTCCACTCTTTCTTCCTCCTCTACTGTTGCTGCCCTCTCTTTTCCTCCTTCCTTTCCCTTTCTCTCCTCTTCCCTCCCCTCTCCTGACCTAAAATCACAATTCACCACCTGGATGTCCTTGGGGATCTCCAGATCTTGTACCACAGTTGTCTCCAGCTGCTGGGACTGTGGACAATGGTATAGTTGAAGGTCGAGGGAACTAATTCACCAGAAGTTATGCCCCCTCCCAAAGGTAACCCATACCTGATGGACGGTTAGTGGGGATCTAAATTCTGCTCCCTTGCCACAGCTCAGAATAACTCTGAAAGACTTTCCAGCTCCAGAACCTCTCCAAGATTATCTGATTATCTAGATCCTCTGTTGTAACAGCAAGTCTCCTATACACCCCTGCTTCTTTACTTCCTGACAGCTATTTCCTGTCAGCAAGGGAACAGCTCTCAGTGAAAATTCAGTGTATTTGCTACCAAAGATCTTAAACTTAAGCTAATGCTTTTCAAGTTTGTAATTTCCATCACAGTAAGTATATATTTGTGTGATGAATGCTTATCAGAGGGAAAATACACCATACATGTTATAATATTACCACATGAATGACAGAAAAGATACTGAGACTATCAATACATTGTTTCCAGAAACTTCCTAAAAAAGATTTGTGGAAAAAAATTCTTAAGCACACTCAAAATGTATCATTCATGCATAAGTAGAAAGACTATAAGTCTGAAAAAAATGAGGGCGCCTTAATTATAAAGCTCTTGGTTTTCTCATTTGTAAAGGAGAGTTTGAATTTAGAGTCTTGGAAAAATAATGTTTATCAAACATTTACATTGTTCCAGATTCATCCTTAGTACATGTAAGATAGACAGATGAGAAAACTGTGAGATGTTAAACAAATTGCTAACATCACATAGCTACTAAAAGTACTCAAGTAAGCTCTGAAACACAATCGCTCTAACTTTGCACAGCAAGGCAAACTACAGAATTATCACTGCTTTTTCTTGCTAGAGACAAATCAACTATCTTTTTTGTCCTACATTTGAATGGGGTCAGAAACAATCATCATAGGCTTATGTGGCAGCAGAAACACATTAAGAATTTGGATTATTCAGAGGAAGTGCTTCATAAAATTTCTTAATATTCAGGAAACAAGACCCTAGAGTTAGTAGAAACAAAATTTTACAACTAAATTCTAGTTTTCCCTATCATTATTTCACCCTACATATCTGATGTGTCAACAATCCTTTTCACAAATATTAAATGTGTTGACTAAAAGCAAGCTTGGATTCATCAGCCAGAATTGAAATCATGTGTGTTCTCTTTGACTTAGTCAGGGAAGCAAACTGAAATCCCTAGGTGCTCTTTCTGTCTGGTAAATTTCTCAATTTTACCATCCAGGAAGGAAATTTGAGGTTATGTCCAGTATGAGAGTTAATCTCAACAATACATTCCTTATGCAAGAATTAAAACTACAACAGTAAAACAAAACCACTAGTCATATTTTATCATAGACCATGTCATACCTTCAGGAATTGAAGGATTATCTGAATGTGTCACACCCATATGCAAGCAGGAAAGTCTGGTAGAATGAAAGTCATTAATTATACATTGAAAATTGTCTAGATTGGAACAATAGCTCAGAGTAGATTTCTAGCTGACCGTCTATTCAACTCCCAGTAATTTCATATTTGAGAGTAAATTTCAGGTGGATCACAAACTGAATATAGAAGTGAAGGGATTATTGAGGAAAATATAAGACATATCTCTAGAAGACATGTATCAGATTAATTTCCTCCATATATATTAGTTCTTAAGCTTTCTACTGGTCAGGTCAATACTGTAAAAATGGGATTAGTGAGTAGAAACTGTCATAGAAATTCTTGTAGAGGTTATATGTCAGCAATGTACTGTAGCCTATTTTTCTTTATAAGAACAATCAATTATAGTAAGAGCATTATAAAAAGATGAGCAAGGATATTACAAAGACCTACTCTATGGTCCACCAACAAGTTAAACTGATAAATCTTGCTTCTCTGATAAACAAATACCTTGAGTAAGGATAAAGTAATCCATATGTTGATTAGTTCATAGAGCATATATTTTGCCCATCCAAAAGATATGTAATATACATTAATTATTATCAGGCACTTTTTCAGTGAGTATTTGGAGGTTGTTGAAATGACAAATAAGGAATTGTTTAAAACACTGAAGCATCTAGTTCAAACTCACATGGTAATTTGCTTTGCTTTCTTAGTGTTTCCTCAGGATTAATGTGCAAATCATAGGTTCCAAAGAAAGAAACTTTATGATAGTAAAAACAGATGACAGAAGTTTTGAAGTTCTATGGTTTTGTAAATTTTTGAGGTATTTTGTACTTTTCTATATTGCTAAATTTACCCTAGGTTTTTTTTATATCTTTACAACTCTCTTTTTTTGCTTCTTTCCTTCTCTCTTATGTAGACTTATCATCCTATAACAAGAGGACACATAGCAATCTAAGACAAATGACAAGATGTAGGATTAACTTAGGGTAGCAACAGAGATAGTAATAATATAGAGGCATGTATTAGTAAACACAAATGCATGCCATATATAAGTAAATGCAATATACCTATCCAGTTGTGTATGTTAGACTTCTTCCTTCTAGCTTTTCCTAAGAGTAAGCTATTTACATGAAAATGCTTTTTATAATACTAGCCAAACAGTGGGATTTGTTTAACCTAGATCACTCATCTGTTTAAGCACCTCCTATGAAATAAGCAGAGTCCCAAGTACTGAGATGAACCTGACAAATATTGACCCTGCCCTCCTGGAGCTAACAGTGAACTTAGAAGACATGGTAAATGACCAGAAGTGTAAACTTTCAATAGACTCTATGGTCATCTCATTGATAAAATACTATGAAGGAAAAAAAATAAAATTCTCTGAGAGGAAATCTTATTATTTATTTATTTTATTTATTAATGCATACAAGAGCCGGGATATACCAGTGGTATGTGGGGTGAGAAGGAATTGCCAGATACAGAGTAGGGGAACAGAACAGGCAGATCTACTGAAATACACTGCTGAGGGGAGGAAAAGGTGAGATAGGAGAGGCCTGCTGAGCTATGTGGGTGAGCTTCCTAGTCAGGGAATGAACTTGCAGTTGCAATGGCTGGTGATAGCTTCATGGTGCTGAGATTTAACCCTTGTGCCACCAGGCTAGGGAAGCCTCAGAAAAAAATTCAAAAAGACCTTAATCTGGTGGAGGGTAAGGTGAGAGAGGCCCTTAGTGGCAAGTAAGTTGACCCCAAAGATGGACAGGAATTAACTAGGTGAAAGTGAGGGGTGATATTGGTTGAGAAGACTGCCTATGTAAAAATTCTTGTTGGATTACTAGTAAAAAAGGAGAAAAGAGGCAAAAATGAGTAACAATCTATTCAACACCTGCCATGAGTTAACTTGTTGATTTAGGACACTATTCTTGACAATCTGAAGTTCAAGACAATTCATTAATTCAGATGTTGGGGATGACAGATAAATGATTGATGCTCTTAGTAGAGTAGGATAAAGAAATGTATAAGCAAATGAAAGCAGTGCAATATTTGCCATTCAAATAGATGCAAATGTCTACAATAGGATAAGGGAAAATGTAAACCATAACTTTTCCTAGGAATTTCATGAAGTTTCTGTAAGGAAAACTTCATGAAGGTGGTATTGCTTGAGGTAGGTTCTAAAGCATGAATAAATGTCTTCCTATAATCAGAAAATCTATAAGGTACTTCCTGGTAGAGTAAAGCTTACTGGATGGAAGGGCTTGGATCGAAGAAAGAACACACCAATAAGCAACTAAACTGACTGCAAAGATGTGAGAGAAAAGTGAAGTAGAAGGAAAAATCAGCAGTTGGGTGAGATGGAATCTTGTTTGTCAAGCTCTACTTTCTATCTAGGAGACAGGGAGCCAATGAAGGATTTAAGGTAGGGAAATCTTGTCTACTTGTGTTTTGTAAAGAACCCAAAAGCTGTTGGTTTTATGTAGGAGTAACTGGAAAGGGAATGAGCTTGTAGAAAAGTTGAATAATTCAATGCCATTGGGAAATGAGGGGCCGCTCTGTTATTAAGGAAAAACAGTTAATTTTTGAAATAATGCAGAATTAAAAATAAATTTTGTAGTAGTATGAAGAAAGAAACAACATGAGTAAATTTTACAAATCTTTTATTTTTTCCAAAGAACAAAAGCCAATGCAATGAGACATACAATAAAAATGCATAATTTAACATAATAAATGTGTTGCATATATAATTGCTAACAAAAATGGCCAAAATATTAAAAGGATACATCTACAGACATCTAAAATCTTAATAATGCTGTGTTTATTTATTTATTTATTTTTGGACACTAAATACTGACTTTATACTCTAATAGCCCAAATAAAGTTTTCAAGACTTTCAGAGAACAGATCATTAGGTTTACCTTTATTATTAAAAAAATGAAAACAATGTATTTCTATAAATAAGAAATAAGGAATTTATCTATTTCCTAGCTTTTTCATCTATCCAAAACATGTGACTGGAATTATAGCATTCCTAATAAAATAACTAGTAAAAACCAAATAAAATTAAACTTGAATGAATAAGTCATGACATTATGCCATACCAGAAAGACATCACATGTCTAAAGTTATAGAAAAAGAATATATCAGCCCTTATAGAACTTAAACATTTAAAAGTTCTAAGAAGGGACATATTCTACAGAGATAACTGTAGATTTTTTAATGCAATATTACTTAAATAGCATGCCAGGGTCAAAATAAGGAAGTTCCATAACATATTCTACAAGAAACTATTGTTTTTTAATCTCAGGAAAAGATTATGGGTAACAGTTTATTACAAATACAACATTTCAATAAAATATGTATGCATTAAATGCACACCTGTTTCAGTAACACTATATGGGATATATTCTAGGTATAAAATGGTTAGCCTGAAAAATTAACAACTGGAATTCTTGATTCACAATTCAGTCAATTGTCAAAAGATATTAAGCAACACGGACAAAATAACAGCAAATAAATAGCAAGAAATACTATGCTAAGTCCTTCATAAGCTGAGTAGAAAGCTGCAAAGACTCACATACATCCCTTCCTCACTTAAAGCCAGGCATTGAGGAAGAAATGTCAAGTTTCACTGGAGAAAATTCCTCTCTGCAGAAGACCTGGGCAACGTATGGTCTTCATCAGTTTTTCTTGTTTCCACTGTTGGGAAAATAATTGTTTCAGTTTAACCAAATCTCTCCACTCTTGTCTACTCCACCCTGTTTTCAATATCAAACTTAAGTTCAATAAATGACAAAAAATAAACTCAAGGACTATTGCAACAAAATAACCGCCTACATTTCAGTAGTGAACTCTGTGTAACCTCTAAGGGAATTAAATGTAAGATTGTTGGTATGAACATTTTAGAACAACTCTCCCCTCTGCTCCTTAACAATTTCATTCGAAGCATTGTCTGGGCTGTGGTAGCCAAATCTTAGGCCAAAAAAAAAAAAAAAAAAAAAAGAACTAGAGAAATCCACCCTCTCCAAAGAGACTGACAACCATGAAAATCAAAGTCAGGGCTACCTTTCCAAATTTTTTTTGATGGCTCTCTTGATCAAAGGGGCATTTGGGTCCAGACACACAGTTTCCTTCTTGTTCTTCAAACTAGCTCTGCAGAAAAAGATAAAATAAAATAAGAGAACGGGACCATAAGTTGTAGGGGTTGAAGACCCAGGCTGAGGAACATCCCTCTTGCCAAGCTCATAAGAACTATCGCAGCTTAAGAGGACTTACATCACTTCCAACTTGGGACACTGCGGGCCTGCGACGAGCACCTGCAAATTACTGATCATTTTGGGATGAATTCCCGGTGTGATGGCTAAACAAATGCAACGCAGCTCTCGCAAATTAGTAGCAACAGGACGAGCTGTTAGAAAAAGAGAGATCATTATAGGGCAGGGTCGAGGAAGAGTTCTTACCCCGCCCCATCCAGCAAGCCAGGCTGCCCCCGCGCCGACCGCGTGCTGGGCGCTCTCACCGCTGGCTACCGGCGCAGACCGCATTAGCAGCAGCAGCGCCAGGAGCACGCTCAGCGAGCCCCAAAGGTGGGGAAAGCGGACTGCATGCTTGGGCAGCAGACTCATAGCGCTGAAGAAAGAGGGCAAGGCTTGGGCCGGTGGGAGGAAGCCGAGGATTTGAAGCTCCAGGGCACTGGCCTCTCCCAAGTCTTCTGCATCCCTTTTATCTGCATTCATCCCTTCCCCCAGACAGGAAACTCAGACTTTGGGATGCTTGGGAAATTCCCGCACTGAGCGTGTTGGGGTGGGGGGCGGGGGAGGAGAAGGGTAGGGTGGAGCAGGGCTGGGTAGTGGGAGTTGAAGAGGAGGATAGCTGGGAGGAGCTGTCAGGACCCGTTTCTAGAAGGGCGCTGTTGCCGTGTCCCGCTGTGGAAGGAGCTGCTGGCACCGCCAGAGATGAGGCACATCTGCGGGGACTTCCTGCCCCGGGTGCCAGCAGGGGCTAGAGAAGGCCTTTTGTTCCTGAGGAACAGAGTCCTATGGCAGGGGTGTACGTTCTCTCCTTCTAAAGGGGAGGAGGACCCAACGAAGCAGGAGGTTTGCGTTCTAACTTGCTATTTATTGTAAGCTGTGAGAAGTACATAATTGAAAAGCCCTTCCTCTCCTGCTTGCAGGCATGCCATGCTAGGGTCCCTGAGTTTGTGTTGGATTTTCTCTGGCATTCAATCAGAGAAGCAAAAATGATAAAGTATCTCTATCCTCATAAGGAGAAGTCAGTGACAAGAGCAGGCTCCAAAATCAAATCTGCTTACTGCAAATCTTTAGACTTGTGGTTTTGCAAGTAGAAGGATGTTGAGGTGGTTGAAAAAGAGAAAAAAATAAAAAAAACAACCTTCAAAAATCACTCAGCAAATTAACCTGGAGAACAACACAATATTGAATGGGAAGAGGTAAGATCTTCATAGGAGGTGGAATGTACCAGTAAGTACAAGCTTACAATAGACCTAATTTGGAAAAGCTGAGGGAGGCTGGTATGTCTGAGGGATTCATCTGGAAGTTTGGTTTAGAACTTGAGTCAATATGGCAGTAAGACAGCACCCACTCTGGCTTTACTCAAACAACTCATTGAGAGGAGCGGGTGAGCCACACACAGAAGCTCCTGAAACCATCCCTTTTCATGATAAATGGTACAATCAAGGCTCTTTCCACAGCCCTGCTCTAGGGAGTAAATCCAGAGTTATCACCTGAACTTGAGAAGTGAGCTAGCTTCCAACTCTCTCTATCTCTCTTTGACCTATCGAACTAGTTAGAACACTGAGGATTTAGAGGCCAGAACTACACATGTCTAACTCCATGGGAGCACAGTTCTGATACTAGAAGGCAGTAGGCTTTCTTCATGAAAATCTAATGACTTGTTCTGGATTGTTCTCAAGACTTTGGTCCTCACAGTAGTCTCCAAAAGGCAACAGGTCATGACAGTGAAAAACTAGTTATGGCAAGGAAATTCTTTTCCTTATCTCTGTAACCATGGGGATTTTATCTCCTTTGCATATCTTCCTTGACAGGGCAACATCTCTGTTGGAGAGAAAGGAAGAGGTGTCATAGGCTTCAGAATTTTTCACCTGAAAGGGAACTTAAGAGATTGTCTTCTTCAGAAGACTATGAGATTTGAACTCACTCTGTGGAAAGCTGCTTAAGAAATTGTTTCCGTACACTTCCTGTTACTGTCTGATTCAGCTAATGCAATCCTTCATCCTTCTGGGGAGTGGTAATCTGGGAATAAGCTTAAAAATTTGATTCTTTAGAAATTAGAATAGATTAAAAGACAAACAATGTATAGTAGAAACACTTCAAAAATGAGACTGAAAATTTCACCAAATAACTTCAACTTTACCTCATGGACTAAACCAGAATAAGATGACTGAGGGTAGGGGGAGGATAATGACATAGGTATTTAAGTTTGTGTATGTTAGACTGTGTGAGTGTCTGTGTTATTTCCAAAGCAACTACTTTAAATATAAATGAACATAAATGAATTCTTCTCTGAGCTCAGAGAAGGTGATGAGATATGATTTAAGTTTCTCCTGATACTCCTATAGAAATGCATACTTCACCTGGTTTATAATCTGCATCAAATTACTTTGTGCTGTATACAGTTACAGAACATAAGGCAAAAAAACCTTTTTCACTAGCAGACAAGCAGATAATAGAAAGTCCCTATTTAGAAGCAAGTGGATGGATTACTCAGCCTAATCAGGAAGCAATGTGCACATTTAACCATGGTTCTTGTTGAAGTCTTTTAACTAGTTGCTCATATCTGATTTTATCTGGACAAATAGAAATGAATGTGGTGGTGCAAAGATTTCCTGCATTTGAAAATGAAAGCACCAAGTACCATAGAAGATAGCACTCTTTAAAAGTAATTGTCTACAGCTTCTCTGGTGATGCAAGGCGATAGGTCTCAGCACTATGAAGCTTCCAAAGCCATTGCAGCACAGGTTAGCTCCCTGACCAGGGATCTAACATGGCACAACAGACCTCTCCTGTCTCACCAGCTACTCCCTTCAGTTGTGTATTTCAGTATTTCTGTTCACTGCTCTGTCTCCCCACTCTGTCTCTGATGAATCTCTTCATCCTTTGCACCTCTGGCATGTACCCCCATTCTTGTTTGCATAAATAAATAAATCTTTAAAAAAAATTAAAAAATAAAAGTAAGTGTCTCTTTGTTACCAACTTAAAGGGGGAAATACTTGCCTTATCTGCACTGTATCCAGGTATTAGAGAAAGGCACCCTGTTATTTTTGTTCCAAACTATAACAAAACAATCTACAAAATGACATCAACATTCTGATAGCCTGAAAGCTTTGCTATTTGTCAAAAGCAATAGAATTTTAGTCTTAATACCACAGAATAAGATAATTAGAACTATACATTCTTAATGGCCTGCATCTTCTAAAACATCATTATGTTTTAAATTGGTCTTTGAAGCAGATAAGGCAGATTCTTCTATCCTTATTTCTTATCTGTGGAGCATAAGGCCAGAAAAAGAGTTAAGTGCAAAATCCAGGATTGGAATCCAAGCACTAGAGAAACTGCCAGAGGAATTTTTAATGGTTTCCAGATTACAAACCACTTTCTTCACAGTCACTGGCAAACACTCCAGAGCTCTCCACATCTGGTTAACCATTGTATGTGTATTACCCAATGACTTTAATTTAAGCTGTTGAAATCCTTAGTCTGTCTACTCCTGGTCTTTGAGGCCACAATGATGTCAAACATCCAAGAAATGTGGAGGTTAACCATTCTGAAATTGTCACCTGCTTCTCAACCCCTCTCTTTTTCTTTAAGATCAGTGAAAGATTTGACTTCTCTGATAAAGTTTGTTCTGACAAGTCAATGTATTTTTACTACCATTGGTCTTTGAGCATATGATGTACTTAATTAACTATCTTGCCATGCATAGTTTTTTTATTCCTCAGTTTTGCTTTTCTTTCTCTCAAGTCAACTTTAAGCTCTTTAATATGAATGCTGATGTCTTATTTTCTCACATAACCACCCACAAGTTTCAAGTTCCATAGCAAACAGAACATCAGATAATAATAACTTTTACTTTGCAGTGTTCTTTAAGTTACAAGTGGATCGTAAGGAGGAAAGATTGCATGATTAATTGTCGTTAATCATTTGAATTCCTCTGTTAAAATTGGCTTTCCTGGCCCTCCCTGGTGGCACAGCGGGTTAAAACACTGCACTGAGAAACTAAAGCCACTTCCGCATGAGTTCGATCCCTGCATGCCCGGGAGGTGACCACATGGCGTGGCAGACCTCTCCTGACCCGCCCGCTGCTCCCCTCAGCAGTGTACTTCATCGATCTGCCTGTTCTGCTTCCCGCTCTGTCTCTGGTGAATCCTCTCACCCTCCGCATCTCTGGCCTGTACCCCAATTCTGTATGAGTAAATAAATAAATCTTAAAAAAAAAAAAATTGGCTTTCCTTTTTTTTTTTTTTGGCTTTCCTTTTTGTTGAAAATCGTTTCTTGGTTATTCTTAGGAATGATTCAAGTAATATTTTCAATTTTTGGAATCTGAATTATTAAAAAAAATATTCAGGAACCAATAAGATATTTGATATTGAAAGAAAATTCTACAACTAATATAGCAACCAAACTTCATATTTTCTGCAACTTTCAGGTTGCTGGAGTTAAATAAGAAAAAATTCTGATTTATATAGTATAGAAATGTTTTTCTAAATTGAGTTCTTCCCACAAATTAGACTTTTATTTTAACTTAGTATAGGACCAAAGTCTTCAAATATGATTTATGCTTCTAAGTTTCTATTATCCTTTATATTTACAACTCTATATTATTTGTATTCATTACTCTATGATTATGGTAGTTAGAGGTATAAATACTAGGTTAAAATATCAAGGATATTGGGTCCTCACAGGTGGCACAGCAGGTTAAAGCACAGCACTAAAAAGCTAAAGCCACTTTAGCATGAGTTGGATCCCCACCAACCCCGGAGGTGATCCAAATGGTGTGGCAGACCTTTTCTGGAGAGCCCGCTGCTCCCCTCAGCAGTGTACTTCATTGATCTGTCTGTTCTGCACCCCATTCTGTCTTTGGTAAATCCTCTCACCATCCCTGCACCTCTGGCCTATGTCCCAGTTCTGTATACATAAATAAATAAATCTTAAAAAAAAAATCAAGGCTATCAGTTGGAGTGGTTATCAATCATTAGGCAGGGGGTAGGATTATTTGCTTGCATAAAAAAGGAAATGACAAGTCAGTAACTCTTGAGTTAACTTTGTAGGTGGGTGTAGTCACTCTCCTTGGCAGTTCAAGGCACAGCATCATTTAGTGAATAACTTGCCTTCAGAATTGACCCAGCTTTACTGTAAAATGTGGAGTCTGCTTTCCCTCTATTAGCTAATTTTCTTTGTTGTGCACTATGCATTAAATCTGATTGAAAAAGTAGATAATGGACTCTGACTGAGTCCAAACTGAGCCTAGACCATGGCTGGGCTGTTCCTTGCCACCTCCAGAGTCAAAGGGATCGCTAGTTAGTTGTGCAAGTCTGTGAAAAGTTTTGTTGATCAGAGATGATACTTAGAAAAAAAGGAGATGATTAAAATCTTAAGTGTTTCCTCAAAACTTAGACTTCTCAGAAATAGGAAGAATTCATTTCTATCTTAGGCAACAGCACAACCACCACCACCAAAAAAAAAATCTTAGAGTTTAG